AAATTAGGAGATGAGAATTGAAAATATGGGAGAACTTGGTGAAATGTACAGCCGCAAATAGAGAAACACAATAGTCTTTTTTATGCCATTGTTCAGTCTATACAAGGCCGAAGAGATAAGTCCTGGGCATGATGATAAACTACATCTGGCAATAAGTTTCCTGATTGGGTCATTAGAGGTTTTGAGGAGCATGGAACTATCTCAACTGCTGTTGATCCCAAGTCCACTCTAACCCAGTGTGACAGCACCTGTCAGGTGGATTCATGCTTTTCCCAAGGGTAAGTAAATGAATAATGTCATCAAGGATATTATATCAAAACTTCAGTTTTTTGATTATAAAATTAATCTATACACCTATGAAAAAAATGGAGGAAAAAAAAAAGAAAGTTTTTCCTATTTCTAAGACAGATGCGTATGATTTTCAGGCAGAAATTGCTCCAGTACCATCAATAAAAAAATCAATTTCAATTTTTAGTAGTGTAGCATGTGTTATGTGAACTGTAACTGATGCAACCCATACCAGTTTTAAATCTTTTTGATTATAAAAATAAATAAAATAGGTAAATAGAACAAATATTATTTGTCTATATTTTTTATATGAACTATTGTAACTATTTACACTATTTGCATTGTTCGGATTGATGTCCTAATGTTTATTGCCATATTCACAATGTTTTGACTGTTGCATACTTTGATGACCTTTCAATGTATATCATCTGAAGAAAGTTGAAGTGTACAATAGGCAAAACATTGTGAATATGGCATACAAGATGAGGACAACAGTCCAAACAATATAAATATTGCAAATAGTTACAATACCTCATCTCAGAAATATAAACTGTGAATATGGCAATAAAGATGAGAACAACAGTCCAAACAATATAAATAGTGTAAATAGTTACAATACCTCATCTCAGAAATATAGACTGTGAATATGGCAATAAAGATGAGGACAACAGTCCAAACAATATAAATATTGCAAATAGTTACAATACCTCATCTCAGAAATATAAACTGTGAATATGGCAATAAAAATGAGGACAACAGTCCAAACAATATAAATATTATAAATAGTTACAATACCTCATCTCAGAAATATAGACTGTGAATATGGCAATAAAAATGAGGACAACAGTCCAAACAATATAAATATTATAAATAGTTACAATACCTCATCTCAGAAATATAAACTGTGAATATGGCAATAAAAATGAGGACAACAGTCCAAACAATATAAATATTGCAAATAGTTACAATACCTCATCTCAGAAATATAGACTGTGAATATGACAATAAAAATTAGGACAACAGTCCAAACAATGTAAATAGTTACAATACCTCATCTCAGAAATATAAACTGTGAATATGGCAATAAAAATGAGGACAACAGTCCAAACAATATAAATAGTGTAAACAAGTATTAGTTTCTTAAATTTAATATTTTTTAACAGTATGATACACCTTGAAGTATTCTGTGCATGACTTGGATTGATTTTAAATGTGAATGAAGTTTAATCGTTTAATGATTTTTTTCTTTTTCTTTCAGATTTAACAACTTAAGTCTTTGGCAATTTCAACCATGGAAAGATTAACAATCAAACAATGTGTTAAAGTTTCAAGAGTGCAACTTGAAAAATTGTTCATAAATTCAAACAAATTGGGTCATTGGCAGATGTGAAAACACCATTGCGTGCTTGATTACGCTGTTCAGCTGAAAACATTGCTGCAGTGCACGAGAATGTGGCCGAAAATCCAGACACTTTTACTTGTCATCGCGCGCAGGAATTGAACCGCTCCACAACAACGTTACATCATTTCCAACTGCATTCTTAGTTGGTCGATTATATTGAAAAAAAAAAAAAAAAAAAAAAATCGCGAATTGCACAAAATGCATTTCTGTTTGAATGTACATTTTCATAATAGGCTTCGACATTATTTAATTGTTAATCTTTCCATGGTTGAAATTGCCAAAGACTTAAGTTGTTAAATCTGAAAGAAAAAGAAAAAATCATTAGATGCTTAAATTCACATTTAAAATCTGTCCAAGTTATTGGAACACACTTTACATTCCTTGCACCAAGTTGCACCATTCTCACCATTATTTTGTCTTTGGGAACTATGTATGCAGATATAGTACTATCTTTGTCTTGTTCTTCCAACTTAATTTCCCTGGAAATACAGGGTGAGATTGATAAACTGTCATCTGAATTACACAAAAATGAAAATAACACTAACATCACGTCTTAACAGATATTTACCAAAATTACACAGAAATATCTTGAAATACTAAAGAGTAAATCTACTCAATAAAACTGCCGTTGGCTTAAACCAAGGCCTCCAGATGACTTCAGAACCTCCTACAGCTCTTCTGGACAGTTTCCTTGTTTAAGTTGGTGAATGCTGCCAAAATCCTTGCCTTCAGTTCTCTTTAGTGTTGCAAAGAGTTTTGTTAGTTATTGGTCACTCATTCAACTGTGCTCCACGCATAATAATCAAGAGGGTTGCTGTCTGGGGAGTTAAGTGGCCAGATGTAAGGGGCACAAATTGCAGTATGAACAAGTAATAAAAGAAATAATTATAGAATAGAAAGCTATTAAATTCAAGTAACGAATTAGACAATGCCTTTCTCCTTAGATTCTATAAATTGTAGAAACACATTTAGTAGTATATATATATATATATATATATATATATACTTTATTCACAACTTATCTTGCAAGGTATACCCATTCATAAAAATCAAAAATTTTGTAGAAGCATATAAATTTAAAAAAAATCTTTGTTAAAATATAAATGTTAGCCTACAGGGTGCGATGGATAAATTGTCGTCTAAATTACACAAAAATTAAAAATAAGACTGACATTTCATAAAGGGGGTATCCTGGTTTAAGCTGGTAAATGTTGCCATAATCCTTGCCTTCAGTTCATCTTTGGTATTACAAGGATTTTTGTTGGTCTCTCGCTCAACTGTGCCCCACACATAATAATTAAGGGTGTTGCAATATAGGGAGTTAGGTGGCCAGATGTAAGGGGTGATGTGGTTGCAAAAATTTTCTGACAGCCATGACTGGGTTCTCCTGTTTGTGTGGTATAGTGCAGAGTCCTGTTGCCAGACTTAGGGTCTTCCAGCAGCCACTCTCTCGACCCAGGGCATCACTACTTTCTCAAGGCACTTAATGTAGGCCTCCATGTTGAGTCTGAGGCCCTGTAGGAAGATGAATGAAAGCATAACATTGCCTTCACTAGTGATCATGCCAAACAGCTCCGTAATCAGCATTAGACACATCCAACTCTTTATGAATCCTCTGCACTGTCCTTAGATTGACACCCAAACACTCTGAAATATTCGTATTAGAGGTTCCAGCGCAAATGCCAAGCATTACAGTATGCCGTTTCCAAATTTCTGACAGAGTGAATTGTATCATGTCTGCTCTTTTTCTTACAGACTGTGACCAACTGACCCTACTACACTGTGCAGTCAACAAAATCAAAAACAAACAATGTGAAAAATTAAAAATATAAAATGGTGACAAACTACCCATCACACCCTGTATATACTTATATAATAAATTACTGTATCAACTAAATTACCAATAAAAGAAAGGGGGCTGAAATTACTTCTCAATTATGACTAACTGATGAAGCATCAAATTTTATTTGAATTCCTTCTTGGTTAGACCAAAAACTTTTCAGCATTCACCTCCCTTGGCAGTTGCTCTGAAAGTTGATGGTGACTTGATATTTGGTTTTCATCACTCTTGGTACATCTTTTTGGGACACAGGTTGACACCCAAACTCTCTGAAATGTTTGTATTGGAGCTTCTGGCATGAATGCTAAGCAGTACAGCATGCTGTTTCCAAATTTCTGGTGGAGTGAATTACATCATGGTGCTCTTTTTCTCACAGATGGTGTCCAACTGAACCTACTATATTGTGCAGTTGACAAAATCAAAAACAAATAATGCACATGTGCAAAATTAAAAATATAAAATGGCAACAATTTACCCATTGAACCCTTTACTCCAGGAAATGATGTAAGCTCATAAATCCTAGAGCTGCCAATAAGACATTTAAATTTAAATCATGAAGGAATGATGCTTGTATCATTGAGAAAAGTTTAAATCACCATTTACGAATACCTGCTGATCCCCAAAGAAACACCATTTGATATATACGATCCCTTGCTAATGACGACAGGAAAGTGGTCAGTTCTTTATACTATTTCAGAAAGTAACTGACTTCTACTGCCATGCTTACAAGAGTCAAATCATATTAAAAATGGGTTATGTCAGCCATATTTAGACCAGAACTGCCTAATCCTCAATTTCCAACAATGACAGAATTTAAGTGTTTACACAGCCTTGCAGGTGATAAATAATTGTATTCCATTGGTAAGGAGAGAGTTCCATTCAAAATCATTGAATGTTGCTTTGTGGAACAGGCTCCCAAAAGAATACTTCCCCAACTACAACAATTTTAATCTCTTCAAATTTTGGTTAAATTTGTGTGTCATAATGGGTCTTAGCTATGAAGGTTAGAACTGGGGGAACTAAGGAATGTACCTCATTTGTAGAGCCACTCAAGATAGAAGGTTGCAGAGTAACAGACATGGTTTATAGGGAAGATGAGAGTTAAACCTAGACTAGAAAAAATTGTAGTGAACAGGGAAGCATCCTCTTTGGAGTCAGTTCCACAAAGCAGTGGTTTGTGAGAAGCGGCAGTTCATGTGAGGCAGCTGGTTGGGTGGGACTTACATCTTACCAATGGAATACAAAAGGAATGACAGTGGTTTGCTACAATGTGTGTAACATGGTGGATTGTAATTGTGAAGAATAGAGCATGGCGGGTCTTAACTGAAGGTTAGAACATGGCAGGTCTTAGCTGTGAAGGTTAGAACATGGCAGGTCTTAACTGAAGGTTTGAACATGGCAGGTCTTAACTGTGTAGGTTAGAACATGGCGGGTTTTAGCTGTGAAGTTTAGAAAATGGCGGGTCTCAACTGTGAAGGTTGAACATGACAGGTCTTAACTGTGAAGGCTTGAACATGACAGGTCTTAACTGTGAAGGCTTGAACATGACAGGTCTTAACTGTGAAGGCTTGAACATGACAGGTCTTAACTGTGAAGGCTTGAACATGACAGGTCTTAACTGTGAAGGCTTGTGACAGGTCTTAACATGAAGGCTTGGACAGGTCTTAACTGTGAAGGCTTGAACATGACAGGTCTTAACTGTGAAGGCTTGAACATGACAGGTCTTAACTGTGAAGGCTTGAACATGGCTGGTCTTAGCTGTGAAGGTTAGAACATAGCGGATCTTAACTGTGAAGGTTTGAACTGGTGTAACTAAGGAATATAGTTTGTCTGATCCTCTTTGAACTACTTTCCACAGAAAGAGTAGCAAGAAACTTACAACATTTCATCTGTGGGGAAATGAGTTGTAGGCTAGAAAATAATTGATCATTCACAAGTCAACTGAAGCTGGAAAGTGAAGACTAAGAAACTCCTGCCCATATATAGCATCAGTACTCTATTTTCTGTTACTTAATTTTACCTTTCATCTATTTTAATATACAAAAAAACAAGTAATGCAGTATAATGTTATGATTTTGATATTTTATGAGTACAAGGAAATTGCAATCTTACTTAATATTGCCATTATTTTGTAATAATATGAAAATTTGAACTCTTGGAAGCCTGGTTTGGTTTGATTTGTTTTATGGCATATTAAACTCAATGGGTTATTTAGTACCAACAAAATTTTTATTGCTGGTAATATTTTTTATCAATCTATCTATCTCAGTATATATTAGTTTGGTTTGCTTTGATTTACGGCATATCACCCTCAATGGGTTATTTAATGCTGACAAGATGTTTATTGCTGGTAAGATTTCTTATCTATCTATCTCAGTATATATTAGTTTGGTTTGTTTTATGACATATCAACATCAATGGGTTATTTAATGCTGACAAGATTTTTAGGATGAATAGAATTACAAATTTCTTTGTAAGAAATCAATTTGTAGATCAGGCTTCATTGATATATTTTTGTAAAAAGGGTTTTCTCAAGAGTCAAATGTATTGCTGGTAATATATTTTTATTTTTTCAAAAATATATTGCTGGTAATATTTTTTTTTTCCCAAAAATGTATTGCTGGTATTTTTACTATAAAAATCTATTTTTATACTTTCATAGTGTTTTTACCCCAGTTTGGGGTTAACTATTTGCCTATAGCTGGGACCCTAACAGATGCTACCACCCTAGGTCAGTGAGAACCTGGGAACAACAACAATTAAAAAGTGGTTCTACGTTTCTCAAAAGCTTCCAATCAGAAGCCTTGCTGCCGGATGTAGCTTATTGTCATATTCAAGACGTTCAGGAATCTGTTCTACAATTTAACAGTTCTAAGAAAAAAAAGGCCACTGCATGGAACTTCCTACTAATAAATGGAATGTAATGAGAATAAGGATGAGTTGACGGTTTACTTGGTATGTTGGGTCCTAGATGTGAAAGTCTGGACTTTTCTTTATCTGCTGTGTTCTTCGGGATGTAGGCAATCATGGCTCTTCCAAAATTTCTTCTCCTTGGTATACAGACTCCTTGGTAGCTCTCAATAAATTTTGTCTTTTTGTTATTTTTCCTAAACCTTGTCCTACTTCCCATTTACTCACAACCGCTAAGGAGATTATGCATTCTTTTCCTCCATCGCCTCTTGCCTTCAATTAAAAATATAAAATGGCGACAAACTACCCATCACACCCTGTATATACTTATATAATAAATTACTGTATCAACTAAATTACCTATAAAAGAAAGGGGGCTGAAATTAATTCTCAATTAAGACTAACTGATGAAGCATCAAATTTTATTTGAATTTCTTCTTGGTTAGACAAAAAACTTTTCAGCATTCACCTCCCTTGGTAGTTGATGCTGACTGGATATTTGGCTTTCATCACTCTCGATACATCTTTTGGGGACACAGGTTGACACCAAAACTTTTCCTCCATCCCCTCTTGCCTTCAATTTGTTCTGTGTGTATCAGATTTTCTAAGCCCTCTTTCCTCATTATGGGCTCTAGAAATTTCAACTGTCTCTTTCTGAAGTTCAGTATACGTTTTCTTTTTGTTTCCATTTTCTCTAAAATCTCACTGTATGATATCCTCAGCATCTTTCTGTAGAACCACATTTCTGCTGCTTCAAGTCTTTACTTCATCTCTGAGGAGATTGTCTGGCATTTACTGCCATATAGGTGGACTGATATCACGTAACAATCCAATTCTCTTTTCTTTGTTTTTAACAAATTTTTATTTCTGTTTTTTAATACCTTTCTTAGCTTTTGGAAGGCATCTTTGTCTGTATAAGTGTACCTTCAAGCTTAAGCATTGCACTTTCCATCCTCTGTTAAAACACTTCTGAGGTATTTAAATTTTTGTACTTGAAGAAAGGGAATGTAATTTGCTCAAAATGTCATGAAATAAACGTAATAGTGAGAGGCTAGTAATTTTTTGTTTGTGGGAAAGGGGTCATTTTCGCAATTTTAATTTATTAAAAAAAAAAAAAGAGAGAGAGAGAAAGAAAAAAGGAAGATAAAAGAATACATGACTTAGTAAATAAGTGGTTTACTTTTGAGAATTTCAAAATTCATTTAAATCCTTATAGAAATATTCTTTGTATGACAAGCTTGAGAGGAACTTAACAAGATTATGCTAAACCATTTACTCCAAGAGAACATTCTTTCTTATTCTTTCCTCAACTTCTTATACAACCTCACATATGAAGACTTTCAGATTTGCTTCCCAAATCCTTTTTTATGTTTTTTCTCAAAAAGGCACTTAAAAAAAAATTCTTTGCAAATTCCAACTAAATCTGAGAAAAAATTCTTGTTTGACACTTAAATAAATAGATTTTACTTATATGTTTTTGTGCTCTAATTCTTAAAATATGGTGATTTTTTTAAGCATAGCTTAGACGTGGCACAAGGCCGAAATTATGCAGCACCAAGTGATGATTAAGCTTACTATTACTAAACTGAAAAGTTCTTAAAATATCGTGTGGAAGGAAATAATGAAAATTAGGTAATTTTCTCACATGTTGATATTTTATTTAAGAGTCTGCAAAAGTGGCTCTTCTTTATGTATCATGCTCCTTCACAACGTAGGCGATCATAGCTCTCCACAACTTCCTGTCCCTTGTAGCTGGAAGAGAATTCCACAGGCAAGGAGTGCGAGAAAAGAAACTATTAGACTAGAACTTATCAAGCTATTTCAACAGTAAAATGATGAAAACTATTTGAAAACCTAATCTTCTTTATATGCTGTGAGGTAGGCAATCATGGCTCTCCACAACTTTCTGTTCTTTGTAGCTCTTAATAAATTTTCTCTTTCTTTTATTTCTCCTAAGCCCTGTTATGCCATTCATTTACTCAAGCTTGTTAAGTATGTTATGCATCTTTTACAGCCTGTCCTGTGAGTATCAGATTTTCCAAACCTTCTTTCCTCATATACCCTAGAAACCTCAACTATCTCTTCCTGATGTTAAGCATTAGTTTCCTTTTTGTTTCCATTTTCTCTCACTAGTATCTAAAAATTACTGGAAATTGAAATAGCTCGATGAGTTCAAGTGACAAATGTCAAGTTTGAAACTGCTTATGCCATTGACATCTGCATACTACTGATGTTGTTGTGTTTCTCACTTCAATATAGTACGCAGTAAGAAAGCAGAATGTATGGTCCTCAGCAAAAGAAACAGCCCAACACGCAAATTATAAATTGAAGATACCAGAATTAAAGAAGTGAAAAAATTTAAAATTTTGACAGAGGATGGCAAATGTGATACCAAAATCTGAAGGTGCATTTGGATAGCCAAAGATGCCTACCAAAAGTTAAGCAATGTATTAAGAAACAGGAAAATCTTATTGGAAATAAAGAAAAGAGTACTGAATTGTTATGTAATATTGGTACACCTATATAATAGCAAATACTGGATCATCTCATTACAGATGTAGAAGAGATTTGATGCAACAGAAATGTGGTTCTACAGAAGCATGCTGAGAATACTATGGCCTGAACACATGAGCAATGATGAAATCTTAAAGAAAATGGAAACAAAAAGGACACTTATATATAGAATCAGAAATTTATAAGGTATATATATTGTTGTAACCTAGGGAAGGTTACTGAATAGAATAATCACATGAAGGTTGGTAATGAACGATAATACGTAGGACAAGAACAACACATATAAGATTTGCCAGCAGCATGTAGAAGTAGTAGTCAACTGCTAAAAGTGAGTCAAGTGAATTCCACAATGAATCTCCAACTGCAGGTTATCTACCAACTGCCCCACATGGTCAGATGAGGCACAAGGCCCAATTTAATGTGGGGTATCCAAGTCTGTAGGCTTGGCCAAAAATTTCCTGTCGACCCTATATAAATTGGGATCAAGTAGCTGCTTCCCAAGACAAGACTCTGCTCTTTGACATAGTCTCGTCTGGGGATCCTCTCTGTTTGAAGGCAGAGAGTTTGACCAGCACAGCTGGAGACGAATCTCCAACTACGGGCCAACATACAGTATTTACTGCTGTATTTATGTGAATGGGAACAGAGGGCTTGGAAAATTTGACACTCACAGTATATATTGCAGGCAAGAGGGACAGAAGAAATCAATGTATAACCTACCAAACAACCTTATGTAAATGGATGGAAGAACAGGAATTAGCAAAATGACAAACTAAAAGTTACAAAGGACAGGAAGTTGTGGAGAGCCATGATCGCTTACGTCCTGAAGGGACACATCACATAGATGAAGAAGATGCAGATATTAATGATGTAAGCAATTTCAAACTTGATATTAGTAAATAAAAACAAGGTACAGATAACTCTTTAAAAACTCAAGGATCAATTTGACATATTTATATTATGAACTAGTCTCTCAACTTCTAAAATGAAAAAAATTTTAATTATGAAAAATGCTGTCTTGAGGAAGATTGTTAAAATTATGATTTCATTGTTTTTTATGAATGGACCAATCAATTTAAGTAGTGCCACCAATTGTAATGATGGACATATCATCCTAACTAACCATCCCTTATCATAAAAAATGATGAAATTGGGGTTGCATACAATAGGCAGAAAAGGCAG